AGGATCTAGAAAGTAAACCATAATCCCTCCCTCCCTTCCTCCTCTGAAACTCTTCAGAACGGGATCGAAGCAACCTGTTCCCTTCCAAGCACTCCGGATCCCACCCTGCCCTGAAGGCCAAGAGGGGCTGAATTTTGAGAAGGGCACCATTCAGCCAAATATAGACTCTTTTTCACTCTATTCAAAGCTTGGGATGAAGACAATCGGGCAGATCAGACCTTTGGGAGAGAATTGCATATAGGCATAAAGCCCACACAAGAAAACACATCTGGTCCAATTGGTCCTATCATTTTTAGCACCACAGGGAGGCAGACGGTAACCACTGCCGTTACCACTCCACTATTACTACAGACCTCAAGCTTCCAGTGTTGTCACCCAGGACACATGACTGTGGTACAGACCTGTCTTTCTTATCTTTAGGGACAACTGCGACTTGAATGTTGTCTCCTCCCCTGCCCATGCTCTCTCCTGCTGCATCCTTGCAAAGCAGGGTGAAAGAGGTGGTCTGTTTCTCCCGGGCTCTGTGGAGATCTGCAAGAGAAACACGCAGTCCTCACCTTCATGGCCAATGCGGTGACTACCTCCCCAGCTCCAAGGAGTACCATCTCAGCTTTGTCTTCTAATAGGAAGAGCATGATCCTTGAGGTCCTGGGTGGTGACTACATTTCTCAACTGGAAAAGGACCAAGCCTCACGCCTGCAAGGGACAGTAACTGTACCCTGACCAGAACAGATCGAAAGAAAAGGGCAAGGAAGGGGGTCATTGTCCTTTAGTAAACTGGCCAGTGGGGAGCTCCTCCTAGCTGAACAGAGGCCTCGCTGAAAAGCTACACATCTTTAAACACCATGTCCCTGCCCACTGCCCCCTCGGTGCCAATGGGCAGTGTGTCCCTACCTTTTCCTTGAAGGACACATTTGGCTGGATCGACCTCTTTGGTATTGATGGCGCCGTAAACTTCGTAGCCGCGGCACCGGCCCGCTTTCTGCTGAGGAGAGAAGCATATCTTATCGTTCACTCTGGGACGGGCACTGTACTCGACTTGGTTCAGCTTCGTGAGCCGCTCCACCACCACCCCCTTGGTGATGAGAATCTCCAAGTCAGTGCCACTGGTCAGCAAGTGCTCGGTGAACTCCACTCCAGTGCGCATGTCTGCCAGCAGCTGCTCCAGCTGTGCCTTCTGCAGCTGCAGGGAGTTCTCCTGCTGGGCCCGTATGTCTTCCAGCTGCTTCAGCAGCTTGTCCCGGTGCTCTTCGATGGCTTTGATGTAGCCCTCGGAGAATGTTCGGATATCGGCTGCCACGGCCTCCACTCGCTGCTGGAGGGCACTGTTTGTCTCTTTGACCTGGGCCAGGGCTTCCCCCAGGGCCTCCACGCGGGGCTGGGTGTTTTTGAGGAGTTCCCGCATGAAGTCCCCATGCTTGTGGATAACGTTGCTGGTGAAGTCACAGGGGTGCTCCCGGTGCGCCCCCACCACGCAGTCTCGGCACACAGGCTGGTCACACAGCTCACAGAACAGCCTCAGCTCCTCCGCAGGGTGAGCAGGACACAGAATGGCTTTCCCAACCCGGCTGTAGCCCTTCAGGTCTTTTAGGTCCACCATGGTGTGGTAAGTGGTCTTCTTCTGCCTCCTGGGGGCAAGCAGAGTCAGGGACAGGAAATGAGGGGACCGTTCTAGTTGGAAACAGCCCAGCAGTTTTAAGAGCTTGGTCTCTGAAGTCAAACAAACCTGAGATCAGTTCCTTGCTCCAACCTCTGACTAACTACATGATCCCCTCTGATCCCAGTCCCTCATCTGTGCAGTGGGGACAGTGCGTACCTGAGAGGGCTGTTGTACAGGATACATAGTAAACTAGGGCTCTCTGGCTCAGGACATGGTGCTGCAAAAAGGTTGCAGCACTAAGTCTACATCTTAGAACTTTCCCCAAAGAGTTAAATTGGCAAGTTTAGACTAGAGCCACAGCCTCCTCCTCCAGCAAGCTAGAGGTGAGAGCACGGTGAAAACCCAGCCCAAGAAACGACTGAGCCAAATGGCACAGCAGTAAACCCCGGGCCACTGAAAAGCAGCCAGCTGGCCCCAGAAGTCTGTCTCAGCTTTTATCTAAGGCAGTGATGGCGAATCTTTTGAGCTCGGCGTGTCAGCATTTTGAAAAACCCTAACTTAACTCTGGTGCCGTGTCATTACCACAGTAAAACAAAGATTTATATTTTTGATATTTTTTAAAGGAGCAAGAGTCAGTCTGGTGACATGCAGGGGACATGGCACTTCAGACAGAGGGGAGAGCATAAGTAAAAAGAGTAAAAACAGAGGAGAGGACAGCACCGTGATGGCGAACCTTTTGAGCTCGGCGTGTCAGCATTTTGAAAAGCCCTAACTTAACTCTGGTGCCGTGTCACATATAGAAATTTTTTGATATTTGCAACCATAGTAAAACAAAGCTTTATATTTTTGATATTTATTTTATATATTTAAATGCCATTTAACAAAGAAAAATCAACCAAAAAAATGAGTTCGCGTGTCACCTCTGACACGCGTGTCATAGGTTCGCCATTACTGATCTAAGGTGTTGGTAGAGCATTTCCTTTGACCAGTGCCTATATCACCCAACGCAGCAAGCTAGAATTTTCCTCAAGAGTTATCAACATTAGAAAGAGTGAAATCAATGATCAGAATCAAAGCTCTTTGAATTCCTCTTCTCTGTAGCTCTCCAGAGATTCAGGGGAACCCCTGGGAAGCCATGGTGCCTGTTGGGGCAGAGGAGCGGCTGCAGAGAAAACAGGGTCAGCTGTTTAGCTGGCAGCAAGACAGTCAGAGTTACAAGTTAAAAATAGACCGGAGACTACTAACTTGTTCTGTGGGTGAGGCCAGAGAATAAATGGAAGGCAGAACTTAAAAAACTGCTTGACGCTAACCCTAAAACCCTGGTTATTTTTCATTCTGATGTGTTGGAATGAGCCCCGGGGTGCTCCCTGTGACTTCACCTTACACTGGGAAGGCAGCATGGACTAGTAGAAAGCAGATCTGGATTTAAAAGTCAGTTGTTACATGTTACTTACCAACTGTGGGGCTGTGGCAAGTCACATATTGCGAAGCTAGTTCCTTCAATAAATAGGGGTGGAAGCAGTGCCTACTTTTTTAATAAGAGGTGCAAGGATCAAATGAGATTGAGGCAGGAGCCATGCTATTCTATTCATTCTCTTTCCCCAGCACCCAGTGCAATGAAATGACTGATGAGCCAAGGACACCGTGAGCCTGCTTTGCAAACTGAGAAGGACTATGCAAGCCTTTGATGCTGTCATTACTACAGGTATTATCTAAGGCTGCAGGAATATACTACCATTCTATAGTATTTGCTCTCAGACTGTAGGTTGCTCTTTGACCTTCCATGGCATTTGAGAAAACTTTCCTTTCCATTTGCTCACCAAGGAGGGATGTCTGTCTCAACACCTCTCTCTCCTCTGCTCATAAGCCACACGAGGTAGGGGTATCCCATCTTTACCTATGGGCCTGGCAGCAGAAATGGCAGAGATTGGCTTTGCAGGTCTGACACCTCTTCTCCACGTCCCTGTCGCTGCACAGGTCACACACCAGGCCCTGGCCTTCCCCACACAGATTCTCCAGCATCACATCGTTCATGGCCAGGTGGTCTATGGTTAAAGCTTTCACTCCACCCACGGGCAGGTCCACCTGCGCATCACACACTGGGCAGAGGATGCCGGTCTGCGGCCGCAGGCCAGGTGGCTTGAGTTCCTGGAATAGTGACCCCTCAGAGCTTGTGTCAGCGTCTCCCCCTCGGATGTCCACTACTGAGAAGGGTTCCAGCTGCTCCAAACAGGTGGTGCAAACTGTGTGCAAACAAGGCAGGAGCCTGGGGGCTTGGAAAAGCCCCATGCACGAAGGGCAGTGCGTCTTGCCGGAGTTCCCAAGGGCAGGCCCACTGGGGAGTTTGCCCATGAAGCCCAGCAGCGGCTTCCTCTTTTCTGACATATTCCCCACGTTTATGCCCAGTATCAGAAAAGGCCCCGGGCAGCTCTGCAAGGAAGTAGTTGATTAAGCCCACCCAAAGCGAAAGCTCCCGGAACGTGAACAGAGACCATGGGGAACCGCTCTCCAGCAAGTCAAAGGGCAAACGGGGGGAGGATTCCTCCGAGGGAGGACCCGCAGCTCTGCTCAGGAGTGCCCCCTCCTCTCCACGGCATCCCATGCCAGACACGCCCACGCCCGCCTCTGCCCCCCAAATCCTTCCCGGAAGAGCTTCCAGGTCCAGGTCTGGCACTAGGTCTGCTTCCTCCTGGACCCCTCCCTGCACCTCTCTAGCCCCTCTCCCTCCCGCCCCACTGGTCCCGCACCCGACACGCGACAAGAGCCCCCCTCGCCCCCCGTGATGAGGTAGGGGGCCTCCCACTCCTTCCCCCGACCCGGTCCTGGGGGGAGGGCACACAGCGGTCCGGGACGTGACGAGTCCGCACCAGCTCCTCGGCGGCCACAGCCTCCCCAGGTTTGGACCCCAGGTGCTGAAAGGCTCCGGCCCCTCCTCGCACCAATCCCAGCCCTCCACTCAGGAGCGTCCAATCACCGTCCGAGAGGGGCGGCCCGAGGCCCCCACCGCCCTCTAGATTGACACCACCAGCACCCAATAAGCTTTGGAAATCCCACATCGCCTGTCCACTCAGGCGGGGAGGGGAGAACCAAACTGAGGGGCGGTGCGGGGCGGTGGGAGAGCTCGGGCCTCGCTGGGAGAAAAAAAGCAAAGCGGGGAGTGAGCGGCATAGTAGAGCCAGCGTCACCATTTTACGGGGATTGTCCTCTTTATCTCTGTGGTGACAGAGAGGCCAGAGGACCACTTGATAGGCCTCGGGGATGGCCTCCTTGGCGCCCTCAGATTGGGCCCACAAACCCAGACTGGGCCCTCCCATTGGTGGGTGGAGCTGTCAGTCAGCCCAGGGCATGCTGGGAGTTGTAGGACGAGACGTTTTCCTGTTTCCGGATGCGGCGACGGAAGTTTCCCCTCAGGCCTAGTGTGCCCGCTGCGAGGGCCTCTGCGGCTCGCGGGCGCCGGCATTTTCTGGGACGAAGGGCCCCTCAGTCCCTGGTTCTGGGACCCGATCCCCTGGGGCTGGAGAACCGCTGTTGCACCCAATACGGCCAGGGGTGAAAATGACCTGTTTGTCGCCCAGAATGCTACAGTTACGCGTAACAGAAACGGAGCAGGTTTGTCCCGCTGGTTTATCAGCCCCTCCAGGGGGGCCCGCGACTGCTCACTATGGGAGAGTGGAGAATGTCAAGGAGGGTAGAAATCAGCCCTTGATGGGTCACAAGCTAGTTGGGCCGATGAACTCACGGAACCCCCTTTATAATTTGTCTCCTTTAGTCGTGTCCTTACCAGCCGTCTCCTGGTTCGGCCATGTGGGCCTTTGCTGTCCTGGGATCTGGCACCGCTCTCCCCAGACTCCACAAGTGGCAGCCCCAGCTCCTCACCTCCGCCTTCTCTGTCTCCAGCCGCTTACCCCTGTCGAGTGGGTTCCGTCTTCTTTGCTCTGTGCACGGCCTTTCCTACCGGATTTGCGCCCAGTGAACCGCTGTTGGGTTGATGTCTTCCTCATCCATATCTACTCGAGGCACAGTGCCTAGAGCACAAGCGTTGAAAAATAAGGAAATCTGAAAAACAACCACAAGAAACTTGTCGACTCCAAAATACGAAGAAGAAAAAATAACTATTGACAAAACTTAGAAATGTTTAGCCATTTCCAAAATAGATACACCTTTGCTGTCCTGGGATCTGGCACCGCTCTCCCCAGACTCCACAAGTGGCAGCCCCAGCTCCTCACCTCCGCCTTCTCTGTCTCCAGCCGCTTACCCCTGTCGAGTGGGTTCCGTCTTCTTTGCTCTGTGCACGGCCTTTCCTACCGGATTTGCGCCCAGTGAACCGCTGTTGGGTTGATGTCTTCCTCATCCATATCTACTCGAGGCACAGTGCCTAGAGCACAAGCGTTGAAAAATAAGGAAATCTGAAAAACAACCACAAGAAACTTGTCGACTCCAAAATATGAAGAAAAAAAACACAACTATTGACAAAACTTAGAAATGTTTAGCCATTTCCAAAATAGATACAACATGTCATGTCCATGAGTCCAGTGCCACTTCTACAGGGGGAGGCAAACGGAGGTTTGCAGTTTGTATGGAAAAATAATACAATAATGAATAAGTAATAATACCAAAGTAAGCTGTTTCCTATACTCAGCTGTAAACCCACGTTTGCCCCCACCTCGTATATAAAAATGACACGGATTTCCAAAGTAAGCATGCCTACAAGATTTTTACCTAGATTTCTTCACCTGCCCTGACTCAGAGTCTGCTGTCTCCATCCCCGTGGGTTGGAGTTAGGTCACACAAACTGCAGACTTGGGTTTGCTGTATATCCCAGCCTGAACTTCACCTTCACCTGATGCTTGGTGATGCTTCATCTCTTATTCATGCCCCATTCCATCTCCCAGGTGGCTGTTTGAGCTTCTCTTGTTTAAGAAGTACTTTATAATTTACATTAGCATTATCTTGTTCAATTCTTTAACAATTCTTTGAGGGAAATCTCAGAGAAGTCTGGTGGTCAGCCCAAGGTAATCCATCTGAAGACTTGAACTCAGCCTTATAATGCCTTTTTAAAGATTTTACCCCAACCACCTCTTTCTTTCCTTTCCCAGCTTCTTAAGCATCTCAGCAGATTCTTAAAAATTTAAATATTTTAAAGATAAAGTATTTAGCCTTTAATTGAGAAAAGGAAAGCTATTTGGAGAACTCCCTTACCTTCTTCTTAAAAACCTGATATATCATATACCTCCTTTCATACTCCTGCCTTTCTTCTGTTGCAAGGGTAACCCCTCAAGACCTTTGCTCTTTAATCCCAGCCTCTCCTGCCTCCTCAAAACCTTGCTGCTTCTACATTTTCAATCTGTTCTTTTAAAAAAATTTTTTTTCAATTGCCGTTTATACTCAAGATTATTTTGCGTTAGTTTCAAATGTACAGCATGGTAGTTAGACAATCATATACTTTACAAAATGTTCCCCCTGATATTTCCCGTGCCCAACTGGCACCATAAATATTAATTACAATATTATTGACTAGATTTCCTAGACTGTGCTTCAGAGCCCCATGATTCAGCGTGTTCTCTACTAGTGTGTTCTTCTGCCAATAATTATAACCAAGTGTTAAAGGGGGAAACAAATCCCCCATTGACTCCGCTGCCTTTCAGCTCAGCTTTTGTGACTCTCGGCTCTACATTTCTGGGTAGTCGCACTCTCTGCTCTCATCATCGCCTTCCATTATCATCATCACCACCCATAGTTCCTTGCCCCGGATGAACTCACTGTTGACCCGCTTTCCGATTGAAGCTTTCCTCTGTGGATCACAGGTGATGTGCTCCCTGGCTTCTTAGCACACAGCCCCGTTAGTAGTCAGCATTGCTGTGTACTTCCTCATCCTTACAACGTGCTTCTTCTTGATTTCTCAACTCCTCTCCTCTCTGGCCTTCTAACCTCTTGGGCTGCTTCTCACACTCTCCCTCCTCCTTCCCCTACTTTATCCCCTACCTTTCCTCTTTGCATTTTTCTCTCATGCAGGTGACTCCCAGGTCCACATTCTCAGTACTGACCTCTCCCCTGAGCTTTGATCACAACCATCTATTAGAACTCTGCCCCCAAATGTGTCCCCATCCCCTTAAGCCCCACATATTTTAAATCTCATTGAATGTTTCTGCTCACTAAACTGTGCTCTCTGAATTTTATTGTCTCAAGGATATCATCATTCTCTCTCCCCTCCAGCTTGAAATCTTATAGTGCTCTTGGCCTCCTTTATCTTTTTCCATATCCAGGCAGGTACCAATTTCTTTCCATCCTCACTGCCAACACCTTACTGTGTAGACTTTTAGGACCCGATCATCCTGACCTCAAGTATCACCATAGTCTCCGAATTATCCCTCCCCTCTGTTTTTTTTTTTTTCATGCAATCCTACACAGCTTTTCCAAATTAATTGTAAACACATGGTACATGGTTAGCCTTTGTTCTAAAAGCGTCAGGAGCTCCTTATCTCCATAGGATAAAATCTGGATTTCTGAATAGATCCATAAAACTGGCCTGTTAGTTATTCCCTGAACATTGCTAAGCACACTTCTTGGTCTTTGCCATTTTTTTTTTTGCAGAATTTGTTCATCTTTATTTAAACCTACCCTTCCTTCTGTGTCAAGCCTGTTTGAAACTTGCCCTATTACTTTAAGGCCTCAGATTTGAGCTCCAATAGCTCTTTATCTATACTTTTCACTTTCAAGTTTGTGCTACATTGTAGTAGCAAGTGTTTTTATTTATTATGTATAATGTAAACACACACACACACACACACACACATATTCCTTATCTCTCTATTAATATGAAATGCCCTTGGCAACCAGCCCCGTGCCTTCACAGGAGGCCTCTAGTAAAGACCTGTTATTGAAGAGGCAGGGAAAGATGACCTCACATAAAGGAGAACAGACAGGACTGCCCTCAGCCGAAGGTTTTATGGATTGTGTAGACCCGACGTGATTTGGAGTGAGATCATGGGAGAGGTTAAAGGATGAAGGATTCTGCTTTCTCAGAACAAAGTTCGGGGTTTTCGTCTACTCTCACGTACTGCTTCATCTTTCTGGGGACCCCAGGCAGCAAACAGTGACAGGGAAGTACGAAAGCCATGGAATTGGAGGAACAGGATTGATGAAAATGGCCAGGTCCATCAAGGTGTCTGCAGGACGTCAGCCCACTCTGGCAACCCGGACAGGGAACGTCCCCACGGCAAGAAGGCCGGGAAGGGAGACGAGCCGTCAGGAAGTCAGGCAGGTCTGGACTGGACGTTTTGCTTGATCAGTACCACCGGAGACTGACTGAATATAGAGAGAGCGATGTCACCTTTACCTTTGACCCCTTAATCAGAAGCAAGTCTCCACTTGCTTCTCTAACTCCCCTCACATTTTGCTCCCAAACAGTACAATCTGGCCTCTGCTCTCACCATTCCTCTGCATTTGCTTTTGCCAAAGTCCCGGATAACTTCCTTCTCGCTAACTCCAGTGGATACTTTTCAGTTATTATTTCATAGAATTTTCTGTAGCTGTGACACGGACAAATTTCTTCTCCTTGAAACCTTGTCATCCCTGGATTGCCATAGTGCTATCTAACCTCTCCTTTTCTTTTTCCCACACTTCCTTCCACCTGGTTCTTAAATGTTGCTATTTCCCAGGGTCCTTAGCGCTCTCTCTCTCTCTCAATAATTTTTAAAAACACACCAAACCCCCTCATCCTCCCTTGATTGTTGTGGGATTTGGAGGTGATGTATACAAAGCACCAGCCCCCTTTCTATAAGGGGGGCTCTTTTATTATATTATTGCCCACGTCCATTCTCTGAATTTACTCCACTTTCTTCCACACTATTTCTGCTTTAGCTCAGGTTTTTTTTTTGTTTTTTTTAGCTCAGATTCTTTTTTTTTTTTTTTAAATATATTTTATTGATTTTTTACAGAGAGGAAGGGAGAGAGATAGAGAGTTAGAAACATCGATGAGAGAGAAACATCGATCAGCTGCCTCCTGCACATCTCCCACTGGGGATGTGCCCGCAACCCAGGTACATGCCCTTGACCGGAATCGAACCTGGGACCTTTCAGTCCGCAGGCCGACGCTCTATCCCCTGAGCCAAACCGGTTTCGGCTAGCTCAGATTCTTATACTTTGTTTGGATTACTAATTAGGGTCCCATTTCCAGTTAATACTCTCTAATCCTCTGAGATATATATTTCTGAAATTTCAATTTTATTATGGTCTTCAGTGGCTACTCAGTACCTTCATTTATTCATCAAATATCCTTTAAGCACCTGGAATATGTTTCCCCCAAATGTCTTCATGGCTTGCTCCCCACTAGAATAGTAAGTTCCCCGAGGGCAGGGCCTTGTGCCTATGTGCCAGGATCTGTCATTGTGCAGAACAAGCAAAGACGCCTGCTCACATGGAAATTGTCTCCCAGGAGGGGCTTCCCTTGACCCTGCCTCTGCGAGCCCAGCCAGCCTCATTTCTTACACCACCCCTTCCTGACCCCAGCATGCACCCTGAGCTTCAGCCTCTTTGCTCATTGTCCCAGCCACTGGCTTTGCTTTGGGCTTCCTGCCTGCTCTCCTTTGCCTCCTTAACCTCCACCCATTCTTTAGAGCTCAGTTCCGAGACATCATTTTCTCTAGGAGTCCTCCATCGACCAAGTCTGTATAGGTGCCCCTCTATGTGGTACTGATGGTGCTCTGTGATAACCTCTACTAAGTCCTTAACATTCTACATTTCTTTTTGTAAAAAATATATTTTTACTGATTTCAGAGAGGAAGGGAGAGGGAGAGAGGGATAGAAACATCAATGATGAGAGATAATCATTGATCAGCTGCCTCCTGCACGCCCCCTACTGGGGATGGAGCCTGCAACCCAGGCATATGCCTGACCCAGAATCGAACTGTGACTTCCTGGTTCTTAGGTCAATGCTCAACCACTAAGCCACATTCTATATTTCAATTTTTTTTCAAGTTGTTCAATAAATATTTGTTGAATGAATAGGTCATTGCTGTGTTTTCTTCCTGTATTTTTTTAAAGAAAAAAAAAATCACACTAAAGTAAAAACTGGCATCTGTTCATTATAAAGAATTCAGTAAA